AAATTTTCTGACCCTAAAGCAAGAGGGAGGAGGCTCCCTTTTATAGAAATCCATGCCCCAAGCTTGTTAGACAAGCTAGAGGCCCCAAGCCATCCCTCTATACACGTGTATGGAGGATGCTTTCTATGCCCAATAGCTGGCACAGCTGGCGAGAAAATATCTGCAGAAAAATATAGAAAAGGTGCCAACCAGTTGAGGTTGTTGGTCGACCACTCCCATGGTCGACTGACCAGAAAAAGTGGTCTTCAAGGTCAACAAGTGGTTGGAAAGGGGGAAAGCTGGTTTACACAAAGAAAGGAAGGTGATGGCATGGCTGCCAACCCCTTCAGGTGGTCCAAAGACCACCAAAACCAGCTGGCCGACCAGAAAACTGGCTGGCAGGGAAGAAAAGTGGTCTACAAGGGGAGAAACTAGTCTACACCCCTTATTCCACCCTCCAAGAAAGGAAAACAAGGTTTGGTTTAAAACCAAACTAAAAAGGAAGCAAGACAAAAGTCCGCAGGACAAGGCATGCAACTGGGAGCCCCGAAAACTAGTCTACGGATACAAAAAGTGGTCTAAGAAAGGGAAAGGTGGTCTACGACCACAAAAAGTGGTCTACAGACCTCTGTTTCCCTCTAGGCAAAGGCAACAAGGCATGGTCCGAAAACCAGGCCAAGAGGAGAACATTAAGTGGTCCAAGACAAGGCGCTCAGCCGAAGGCTCCAAAAATTGAAAACTAGCCTACAGGAGAGAGAAGTAGTCTACGACTACCAAAAGTGGTCTACGGACCTCTCTCTCCCTCCAGGCAAGGGCAACAAGGCATGGTTCACAAGCCAAGCCAAAACACAAAGAGTTCAGAGGCCCAAAGGCAAGGCACTCAGCCAAAAACTCTGAAAACTCAAAACGAGCACAAACATGCGCAATCATCGAGTGCTCAATCGATGACGTCGGAGTCTTAAGGTCAGTCAAAAATGGCATGTCTACAACAAGTCTATCGCCGTAATAGATGAAGTTCAAGATCAAAACCCTTTGTACTATGATATCTGGAACTTATTAGAAAATAAAGTTTATCCACCAGAGGCAAATGCCAAAGATAAGAGGGCAATATGGCGAATGGCTGTTCAATTTATCATCTGTGGAGGTAAACTGTACAAATGGGGCTATCTGGGAATGCACAAGTTGTGTGTTGACGCAGAAGAGTCAAGGCGCCTAATGGAGGCCATCCGTAGGAAAGAGAGTGTCGAGCGCACATGAACGGAGTACTGTTAGCCTGGAAGTTTCTCAGGCAAGATTACTATTGGTCTACCATGGAGGAGGATTGTATCGACTTTGTTCGGCGATGCCACAAATGAAAAATTCATGCGAATCGCATGAATATCCCGCCGTCAAAGCTATACAACATAACTTCACGATGGCCCTTCTCAGTCTGGGAAATCGACATCATCGGCGCAGTCACACCAAAAGGGTCAAATGGTCATGAATACATTTTGGTAGCAATTGATTATTTCACGAAGTGGGTGGAAGCTTAGTCCTACACGGTGTTGAAAACAACGCATGTGGCTAAATTCATCCGAAACAACATCATTTGTTGTTATGGAGTCCCCGAATGAGATCATTTTAGATAATGGCTTCCATTTCAAAAAAGAAGTGATCGACTTGTTGGAGAAATACAACGTGGCTTTTCATAAGTCATCCACATACCGGCCACAAACCAAAGAAGCTGTTGAGGCTGCCAACAAGAACATGAAGCACATTTTGCAAAAAATGGTTGAGACTTATAGAGATTGGCCAGACAAATTGCCATTTACACTCTGGGGCTATAGGACTTCAATTCGAACCTCTACTAGAGCAACTCCATACTCTCTAGCTTATGGGATGGAAACTGTTTTGCCGATTGAAATAGAAGTTCCGTCGCTGCGAGTTATGGCCGAGTGTCAGATAGCAGAGGCGGATTGGCAACAGAGCAGGTTTGAAGAACTGATACTGTTCGACGAGAGAAGGCTGAAAGCATTACACCATGTTCAAGGTTATCAACGTAGGATTACGAGGGCTTTTAACAAGAAGGTTAAGTACCGAAATCTCAAAGAAGGGGATTTGGAACTGAAAGACAACCGAGCTCTCATCTATGATCCTAGGGGCAAGTTCAAACCCAATTGGACTGGTCCTTACATCATCAAAACTATCTAGTTAGGTGGAGCTGTTATTCTTACGGACCTAGATAGCCTAGAATTTTCCCAACCAATCAACATGAACAAGTTGAAGAAATATTACCCCCGAGAGGCTCGCTAGGCCGAAAACCCGGAAGGGTGACCTAGGCAAAAGTTAGAGCACAAAAAAATTAGAAATAAAGAAAAACTGAGCTCGCAAGGTTGAAAACCCTAAAGGGCGACCTTGGAAAAAGTTAGAGCGTAAAAGCAGAGCGTTAATACTCGAGTGAACCTAAACCGAACTACGTAAGGCCTGATTCCCATCTTCGGGATACGTAGGCAACTTCATCTTAAAGTTCGGCTATAAACACCCCCAACTCAACTGTCCTGTCCAGGTGTTGATCAAGTCAGCTTTGTCTATTCTTTATATGAATGTTCGGTTGTGATCGCCCTTTAAGAACTAGTTACAGTGCTGAGCAATGCTATTCAGGCAAGGGTCAATTTATTGTCTTTCGATCCAGGGTTGTACATCTCGAGGACAAATTCTGTGCGTGTCAAGTTGTCATCCTTATCAAAAATGATTTTTGGAAAGTTTTGATAGAGGTTGATTTTTGTTCAAATTAATCTTTTTACAACTTTGACCATTTTTGGATCAAAAGAAAACTTTTAGTGCCCATAACTTCAATTTCATTGATTTCAATACAAAGTTCTCCAACTCTCGATACAAATCAAATTTGCTTTTATTACATTCAAAAACAATACTTGAAAAGTAAGATCAAAGCAAATAAACTAGGGGCATAGATGAATCAGGTGTTCCTGCGTCCCCTCCCTGTGCTTGTGGAAGCTTCTAATGCTAAAGTGGGCCCGAATTCCACCTCATCTTCAAGCCAGGTCAGGCACTCATTAGAAAGTGCGCAGTTGAAACTAGGGGTAGGAGACAGAAGTTCTCTCATCCTCCACGTAGTGGGATATCTAGCCAATTCTGAACCTCGGATTGGGAATGAAGCTGGGTACTCTACCCCCTCTTCTGGGCATGTCTGGTCATGTCCAAACTGACGCCTAAACCAGAACTGAAAGTAGAATACATAGTGTGTAAAGCCAATCAGTTGAATGCCAAGTTGCCGAGCCATGCTGTAGCTCATCTCAGGCAGATCAAACCATGGGCAACGCCAAGCAATGTCAACAGCAGACCTGTTACATATCCAATGGCACCACCACCCTGCATTCAAGAAATCAACTAGCTGTTGGCGAAAAAAGTATCCTCAAGCTGAGTATGCAGGGCAAGAGTCCATTACCTTCAGCTTGTCCATAAGTCATATCTGGGGAGGGATGAAAGAAAAGAGAGATTAAAGAATAGAGAGGTGAATGTTGAGAGAAAAGAGTGAGAAAAGGGCTTTGACAGAAAAACAGAGCATGAATACTGAGAGATGTGTGAAACATACATCAAAAAAGGTAGAAAACATTACCTGCAGAAGTAGTAGACTCCCCGCAAATTTGTTTGCCTCTCACCAATGGAAGGCGTCCAAACCCATCAAAGTCTCAGCCAATGTCAAGCCAATACAACTCTTGCCCTCTTTCAGGCCTTGGGCCACTTCAACTAGCTGAATGCTAGACCCTCCGAAATTGGGGGCAAGAAGGAAGTGATCTAACATGCACAAACAAAAGGCGTGTTGTCGAAAACCCCGCCAAAGAAGGTCACCTCGGTTGCTGGCTTCAGAAAATCAATGAATGAGACTGGGGATGTCTAGCTCTCCGTTGTGAACAAAGGATCGGGCCTCGTGCAGAGTAAGCCCGCACATCCTTCCCAAAGCTTGGATGTGACCAAAACGAGGCTGAGACAAGATTTCCTCATCATGCTAGGACTCTATTAGCACTGGAAATTCTTCGATTTTCGGGCATATCTCTTGTCCCCCGAAGTCAAAGACGTGCGTAATCGGGTTCCAACATCTAGCTACGGCATGTAGGAATGAAAAACAAAGTGGAGAATGACTCAACGGGAATAGTGCATTTATGCCGAAACCCCATAAATTCATCTTTTTCGAGCCATCTAAAGTTGTAATCCAATTCAAGAGTTTTTCAGCAAAGAATGGCTCCATTTGTGAAGAATTTGCAGCTGAAATAAAGAAAATACGAGGTCCAAACCTTTTGTAGAAGATAAGGCAGTGAGTGGAAGCTAGGTGTCAACATTCTGGAGGTTCCTCACATTGATGGCCGACTGGCCATTGGTGATGGCCGACAGGCCACTTTGGTAGCTGACCAGCCACCACTGGTAGCCGACATCCTCTATTCATGGCCGACCCATGGCCGACGGCTTTTTTTCCTATCCTCTTGTTCACCTGTGTGCTGAGAATGCTGAAGACATGTGTTTTGTTTTGTTCTTTATGTCTTGTAAGGTCTTGTTTTGAGCCCTTTAACTTTAGCAAGTTTGTCGAGTTACATTTGAGTTGTTTTGTTTTGTTTATCGAGTTATTTTGTTCATCCAGTTATTTATCGAGTCATTTTGTTGTATATCGAATTGTTTTGTTGTTTATCGAGTTGTTATTTTGATTATCGAGTTGTATTACTTTGATTATTTCAGTTGTTGGTCTGTTCGTTACCTGATTCAGACTGTTGTGACAATACAAGTGTTCGGTTTCCAATATGAAATTCAATCTCCTTTTCATGCAATACGGTGCTCATGATGCAAAATACAACACTTTTTTCAAAAATACATTGGTTTTCATTCCAATCATAGTTGTTTTTACAAAAGTGCAGTACAAGTTTTTTTTTAAAAGAAAATAAAACTCATCTGAAGCTGTACAATGTGCTAACGCTACTAACAAAAAGAAGCTAAGCAAAAACTACAAAAAATCAGCACTGGTCGTCTCAGGCTCAAGAAGCCCTCTTCGTCCTCTTCCTCAGAGGAGAGGACTCTGCAGTACTGTCTCTATCGGCGCCATTGTCTGAACTAGAATCAGAGTATGAACCGGAGCCATCTCCGCTCTCCACCTCGGAGCCCTCCTCAGAATCAGCACTCCTACTCTCAGAACTCGAGCCAGCGTCATCGTCTCCATTCTCGGATGACTCAGCATGCTGACTCGTTGCCTCCTCGGCCTCACTAGTCTCAGCCTTATCATTGCTCAAGATAGGCTCTGAAGGGCCACTCTTATCTCGGGTGCCCCTGGCTCTACCTTGGCTGTGTGCCGGAGCCTGTCTCTCTCTCCTCCCTGCCGCCGAAGGAGGCACCGCTAGTGCTGGTGTTGGTGCTGCAGCCGCCGCCGGTGCTATCGGTATGGATGGAACTTGAAAAGGCGATTGTCGTATGTCAGCCACAATATGCATATTAGATGCAAGTATGATGTGTAGAATGAGCGTATGCAGGAGACAGATACAGTGTATAAATACTATATGGAGGTGCAATGTATCAGTGCGGTGTGGGGAAGTTTTCAGTTAAAATGTCAGTTTCAGTGTGTTAGCAGAAATTTGATGACTGGAATGTAAGAAAGCTGAAGAAATGACCTGAATACTGTGGAAGCAGAGCAATGCCTCCTTCCTCAATATCGTGCCTTCGAATGAGGCTAATAGCTCCAGCAGATCCTCGGTGTATCTTGGGGGTGCCTGAAAATGCATTGGGAATGATCAATGTCCAGAAGGAACAAATATCAGAAAAAGATGAGAAAACTAAAAATGTGGTACATACCGGGGGTGCGCCATGACCTCTGACATATCTATGCCCCGCTGCGGTAGGCTCAATCGGAATCTGATATGCCTCCCTAATATACCGCCAACAGGTGAGAGCAGTAGGCAGCTTCGGCCAGCCGGTCCTCTGCCTTGCATGAGAAACCCCTCTCCCACGAGCCCTAGCTGCCCTTGTCACTCTAGGCCCTGCCCTCGCAGCAAGAGCTCTCACCCCCTCACCTCTACGAACACCAGTCAGAGGTGGCATAAGGTGTGTCTGAATAAAGACCATATAATCGCCCTCGACTCGGAAGTACTCTGCCTCCAAGCTCACCATGAACTGGATAACCCTGTCAACAGATAGGCTGTTTGTTGACCTCATGAACTTTGGCAGCGTTATCAGTATGAACGGAGCGGGCAAACCCAGAGATTGACACATGACTCTTTCGCCTAGGTACCAAGCTCGACAAACTGGACCCTCATGTAGAATACGGTAGCACGAGATGCCCAAGGCCACAGTGTACCGGCCTGGAACCCCCATCGGTATCATGGCCCATGGCTATCACGTGATATGCAAATAGAAGGTGAATAGATTATTAGCCGTCGTTAGTTGCTAATATGTGAATCAGAACAGATGTAGAGCAAAAATGATGACCGTGTTTTAGGTTACCTCATGGGCAGCTACGGTGTCAAAGTAATGTCTGAAGAAGTGAAAGGTTCGCGAGTCCTGCGGCGAAGCTGACCATCGTACACCCGCGACTAGGGGACCGTCAACGGAACCTCCATTGCAGGCTTTGGGGCAAGAGTCAGGAAGTATGCATACACCCATAGCTGTGGAGAAAGCGCAGTGATATGTGATCAATATAGTTTGAACAGATATAGAAAATGCAAAGAAGAAAGCATACAGTGCATGAACAGATATAGAAAATACAAAGCAGAAAGTACATGTGTTGAACAGATGTAAAGCAAGAAATGTTGAACAGAAAATGCAAAGTATAAAGAGGGAACTGAGATATGTACCTCCTAGGCTCGCCAGTAGCCTTCGATCAAGTATCCACCCCCGCGAGAGGTCGAGTTCATATAGCCGTATAGAGTGGCAAGGCCGGCCCCGTTCCAATCTTAGAAACTCACTCGGGGAAAGACCACCAGTGCACTCAGTAAGTATAACCCTACGGTGTTTGCCCTGTTCACAAACAGGGTAGTACCGAGGAGAAACATCAGAAAATCCCGAGCGTACTGCTCCATCTCCTCTACTGTCTCTAGCTTAGTCCCTCGGAACTGCTCCTTAAACCAACTATATCTGACCATAGCTGTCCGAAACAACGGTGGGCACGCCCCCAACAGCTCAATCCAGGCAGCCTCCCACTCCCCCATATTAGGATCGAGAGGAATCGGATCACCCTCTATGCCTAGGCCTGTGATCATGGCGAAGTCGTAAGGAGTCATTGTCATCTTTTCGGCAGTGGAAAGGTGGAGAGAGTTGGTGGTGTCCCACCATCCCTCCACTAGCGCTCCAAGAAGTGGATGGCTCACTATAACTCGCGTCAATCCAGAGCAGAATACGCTGAAGCTGGCCTCGTCAACAATGTCTCGTACTCTTATGGAGAGCTCGTCATACCAATCTCTAGCCGTCATGGCCCCATAGCCCCTGTATGCGCAAGAGTCACCCTATGGTAGAGGACAGGTGAACCAGTGTAAATATAGTTAGATGAAAAGGAAGTGCAAAACAAATACGGTGGCAGTGATGAAAGTATAGTCAAATAAGAGACAGTGCAAGAATGCAAGTAAAGAACATCAGATGTGCAAGTAAATAGAGTTTGTACCTTAATGGCAACGGCTGAAAGATGGGAATCTGGCTCCCTTAGTAGGAGATCCGCTGGCGCGTCAGTAGCAAAATCGGTGAAGTGCCTAATGCCTCCAGCAGGCGGAATATGCGTCCGAGGGTGATACCTCGCTGGATCAAAAGGCCTTATTCCCAGTGGTAATGGCTCCGGCTCCACCTCAGAATCAAAGTCTGCCTCGAACTCCACCTCTAGTGAAGCTCCATCATGTGGTATGTCATCTGCCATCTGGAATATGGGTGAAGAGTTGATGAACAGTGAAGAAAATTGAGAAAATAGGGTAAACTTTGAAAAAGTCAAACCCTAGGAGAGAGAAAAAGGAAGAAAAAGTCAAAGCCTAGAATAAGGCACCAAACTCGAGTGAAACTCAAGGGGAACAAGCCTCAAGTGGTGAAACTCCAAGAAAAAGCGCCGAAATCAAATTTCAATCTGTTCCAAAAGGAGTAAACTAAGAGGGTTTAGCGAAGAAAATATGCGTGGGGCGTTGGAAAACGCGTATAAAGCTCGGATCTAGAGAGAAGGAAGGTCTAGAGAGAGTGAGTGGGGATTTTCAAATTTGAAGGAGTGAAGAAATGAAGTATGGTTGAGTATATTTAAAGACCTGAGGTGAAAAGACCATCTTGGCCCCGATCTGCCATCGGTGGCCGATAATCTTCAAGGGTGACCGACAGGTGGCCGTCACCCTCATCTAGTGGTCGTCCAGTGCCCAGTGCTCCTATTTTGTGTCTTGATGCTATAGTTGTCCCTGTTTCTCTAGAGGTGCAAGGGAAGGTCACTGTTGAGTTCAAATTCTCTCTATGGAAGCTCGCAATTGTGCTTTCGATGATCGTTGTTCGTCCTTTGTTGAACGAGGTGAATCCTTTTTGCATGCCACAACTCTTCCGAGAGGTGAATCAGAAAGTTGCTATTGAACTTGTTTTATTAGAATACACTTTCATTCTTATGTAGACTATGCATTCCCTTATTTTGTATGTAGAACGTTCATTTTACATATGTTGTTGCACAGAATACATGTTTCAATTTTGCATAGAACATGCATTTGTTATTTAGCATAGCATGGAACATGTTCTTAATGCATTTTGTACTTTGCATAGAAGATGCTTTCAATTTTGCATAGAACATGCATTTGTTATTTAGCATAGCATGGAACATGTTCTTAATGCATTTTGTACTTTGCATAGAAGATGCTTTCAATTTTGCATAGAACATGCATTTGTTATTTAGCATAGCATGGAACATGTTCTTAATGCATTTTGTACTTTGCATAGAAGATGCTTTCAATTTTGCATAGAACATGCATTTGTTATTTAGCATAGCATGGAACATGTTCTTAATGCATTTTGTACTTTGCATAGAAGATGCTTTCAATTTTGCATAGAACATGCATTTGTTATTTAGCATAGCATGGAACATGTTCTTAATGCATTTTGTACTTTGCATAGAAGATGCTTTCAATTTTGCATAGAACATGCATTTGTTATTTAGCATAGCATGGAACATGTTCTTAATGCATTTTGTACTTTGCATAGAAGATGCTTTCAATTTTGCATAGAACATGCATTTGTTATTTAGCATAGCATGGAATTGAAAAACTGATTTTTAGAAAGAAGTGTCAAACATGGACTGCTTTGCCAGATACAGAGTCGCCACCTAAATATTTTATTTTGGGGGAATCTAGGAAACCCTGACCCGTGCCTAAGGCCACGTGTCCATCATCACCAAAGTTGTCTAGGCTCGGGAACTTGGGTACGATTGGGGAAGGTCGTGCAATGAGCACCTCCGCTCGCTCGATCAAAGATCAGCCACTGCTAAACATGATATCGAGTTTTTGAAAACACATGCGTTCTTATTCTGGTTTATTAGCCTAGGATTACTATGTGATGCACACAGCATACAAGTATAGACTAGATCGTTTAAGTTGGAACAAAACATCTCATGTTTGTTTTTTAAAGCGGTTTGCTACTCGCAAGTAGGCTAAAATGCGAATTTTGCCACCCTCAAGTGGGCTTAGAAAACATGGTGATTTGCCACTCTCAAGTGGGCTTAAAACTCGCAATCGATGAATTGTTCCAATTTAAATAATTCAACCTTCACCCACAGTCATTCAGGCAGTTATATCACAAAAGCACATAGCCTCATGGTAAGCATGCTATCATGGCAGTCACTCACATGTATGCAAGGCAAGCATCATTCGACCATGGAACCTCAAAACAGAGCTAAGGCAGCCCAAATCATGAATAAAATCAGTTTAGAACATGGCTAAAATATGCTAGAATCAAGGGGCCAAAACAACATGCAATGTGAGCTAGTGAACATGGATTACACTACAAGCATATGAAGCATTCAAGAGGCCACTAAACCAGCAAAAGTCAGAGATATGACATGCCAAATAAAGTCCAAAAACCCACTGAAACATGATCAATGCATGCAACAATGACATGCTCTTTTGATAAGCTATAAGAGGGGTTATTCTACACATGCAAGAGACACACCCAAGGTGACAAAACCAACTCTGGATAGAGCCTAGGCAGGCCCTAAAAGTCACTGAAAAGGGCCTGAAACAAGGCTTGGAGGTGTGCAAATGGAGGCTCCTTTGTAAGGCCAAAAATGCTAGTGAACAAGACAAGGAGGGAGAGGGTCACCCCTCTCTGATTTTGGCTCTCAAAAACACATGTTAACCACTGAAAATCCATTGGATTTCAGTGGTTAAAAGGCTAAGCAATGGTCAACACAAAGGCCTTAGGGCATGGCTCAAAACAAGGAAAAATGAAGCATTCAAGGGGGTAGATGACCCCCAACAACAAAATGACCTTAAACAAACAT